GGTTTTATAGGGGGGGATTGTATATATGCTTTGGTTTTAAATATGTTGTGCGCCGCCCTGAGTCCCGCAGGGAGAAGGGCGGCATATAAATTAAATTAAATAAAAATAAATAAATAAATAAATAAATAAATGCCACTTTGGGTTCCTGAAGCCATTACATCTCACCAATTGTCAGTTCTGGTGACCAAAGATGAAGAAAGACATTGAGGGCTATGTGGGAAGTTGTGCTGTCTGTGCGGATAGCAAGAGACTACCAGGGAAGAGTCTGGGACTGTTGCAGTAGGTGGCTGATCCGACCAGATCCTGGGAGGAGATTGCCATGGACTTTATAGTGGAGCTACCAGAGAGTGGGGGGAGTACTATGATTTGGACTATGATAGACTTATTTTCCAAGCAAGCCCACTTCATTGCATGTGATGGATTCCCTTTGGCCCAGAGGCTAGTGAAGATGTTTTTGCAACACGTCTACAAATTACATGGAGTGCCTAAGCACATCATTTCACATCATGGGGTCCAGTTCACTGCTATATTCTGGAGGAAATTTGTAACAGCGATTGGGTCCTCCCAGGGGTATGAGTACAAATGGATTGGCAGAATGAACTAATGCAATAGTGGAGCAGAACCTACTATGTCAACTACCAGCAAACGAACTGGGCAGAGCTTTTGCTGTTTGCAGAGATAGCATATAACAATGCAGTACACAGCAGCACAGGTTTCACTCCATTTAAGTTAGCCATGGGGCTGGAATTCGTGCCAATACCAGAGTGCCTGCAAGAGCTCCTCAAGCACCCTAAGCGACTGGATGGGTTCATTCCAACAAGTCTGGAGCGATACAAAATGGCTTTAACTAAAGCAGCCGAAAGTCAGAAAAAGCAAGCAGACAAAAAAACGAGCTCCCCAGGAAACGTTCCATATAGGAGATAAAGTGTATCTGTCAACCAAGTATCTTAAGATGAGACAAACTTGCAAGAAGTTAGGGACGAAGTACATAGATCCTTTCCTCATCATAAAAGTCAACCCAGTGATAGTAGAGCTAAGACTACCAAGGTTATTGGGTAAAGTGCACCCAGTATTCCCTTGCATCTTACTGAAACCATATAGGGGATCCACAATGAGACCAGTAGGGGAGGCAGCCACAGCCTCAATAGTGGCAGAAGGGGAAACACATTATGAAGTTAAGCAAATCCTTGATTTTGGAATCCACAAAGGGAAATTGCAATACTTAATCCAATGGGAGGGGTATCCGATATCAGAAGCTAGATGGGTGAAAGTCCAGCACGTAAAAGCGGATCGTTTAGTAAAACATTTCCACACTAAGTACCCCCTAAAACTGGGACCAGTACAAGGGAAGAATTAATAAGCAATGATGTGTATTCCCTTTTGTTTTCCAGATTCTCCTTCCCTTCTAGGGGCCAGCCTGTCAAGCTATGAAATTTACTGTCTTTAGGACCGCTGTAGTGCTTCTAGCTTGTCTACAGTTATGGGGGGAGAGAGGAGAGTTGGGATCCACAGGTGCTCCCTATCAGCATGAGAGCTGAAGCTGCTGATGAACTGTTTTGGTGAACTGAAGTTTTTTCTCCTAACAATTGCTGAAAGATTAATTAGACAATGTGACCTGAACTGTCATAGAGGGAAGGGAAAGTTTTACTCTTTTAATTATCTGTTTCCTGCCATAAAGAGCTAGCTTTCCTCCTATCGTACTGGTTTGCTAATGCCTAATAAAGTTTACATTAGAGATCGCAATGTCTCTGGTGTTTTTCTTCATTGGGCTTCTTAGCTGGAACTTGACATGCCGTTATTCACTTAACAACTGTGGCAAGAAAGGTTGCAAAATGGGACAAAATTCACAACAGTCTTACTGAGCAATTGAAATTTTGGTCTCAATTGTGTTCATGGACTATCTGTAACTGTTTCCTCTCTGTATTCAGGGTGGCTGTTTTGGACAAAGTCACTGATTTCCTGTTTTTCCTTGGAAAAATCCTAATTGTGGGAAGTGTTGGTAAGATATTTGTGATATTTTGAGTTTTCTCTTAAGTTTGGTCACTTATTGGTCTTCTTTTTGGTGTTTCCATGGAGATTTCACTTCTTGTATTTGCATTTGAATGCAATTGGTATAGGCAATAAAGAATATATTTAAAGCAGGGGTCAAAGCCTTTTTTTTGTATAACAGGAATGGGACCCTAATATAGCTGGAGGTAAAGCTGTTTCTTTTCCTAAGTATGATTTCTGTACCTTTCCACATTTTGCTGTAGTTCAATCCTACTTTTGCTCTTCCAAAAATTTCCAGTTGCAAGTCACTTGCCTCAAATTTTAAGATATCAAGAGTTGTAATCCAGTATATGTAGAGGACATAAAGCTAGTGGAGACCTTTTCCACCTCTCTTACATGTTATTACAGCTCATTTTCATAATATGTAGAAACAAGTACAAGATTTAAACCCCATTTGGGAGGGGGAAAGAAATTTGTTGAAATATGTATGGGTCAAGGTCAAACTCGTTTGTAAAAATGATGGGATTTCCAAATTGGCACTAAAGATATAGAGAAAAATGTAAAATTTAATTATTTTCATTTCTTTTTAGGTATCCTTGCTTTCTTTTTTTTCACCCAAAGAATAAAGCTGATTCAAGACACAGCACCAACTCTCAATTATTACTGGGTCCCCATTCTGGTTAGTATTTCTAAAAATATGAATGTATTTTTTTTCTCTAATTCCAGCTGTACTGCTTGGCAGCTGTTTTCATGTTCATTTAATCTACTTTTACAGCATTGAAGTCTTCCTTGATAGTTGTGCTGCTTGGGGGGAGGGTTGAGAACGAGTCACCATTACTTTATTGAAATATAACATCCATTCTGTTATTAACTATTGGTTACATTTAATTTCCATCTTACTTCAAGGGAATATATAGGTTCTGTGCTACCCATGTTATTTTATCCTAGCTATGAGTTAAATTTTGAAGAAAATTAGTTGATTCATATATTGTACTAAGCTAAAATGTGGTTGGCATAGGGTGTTTGTAGTCTAGTGAACTCATTCATTGCAGTTTATAAACCATGGTTTAATCTGTTTTTTTTTTTTTTCAATAAAATTTTTATTATTTTCATCATAAAAAACATTACAAATATTCCACAATGCTATAATAGAAAAAACCCCATCCCCCACCCACCCACCCCCCGGACTTCCCAAACCTATCCGAGGATAGTATTCAAATATAAGTAAACAAATATTAACATCCCTAACCCCACAAAGTATACTATTCTACATGGGTAGGTAAAATATATTAAAGAAAAAGAAAAACAAGTTAACTAAAAACCTAAATTATATTCCACCACTCTATACTTCTTTTGAATATAAACAATCCATCTTCTCCATATTAGTAAAAATTGTTCATTTGAGTGGTTCTTCAAATAAGCCGAAATCTTTGCCATTTCAGCAAG